AGAAACTCAATTATTTTCAAAAATTTTTTTAAATTCTCGGCAAAATTTTAATTATCTTTATAAATAATAAAAATTCCTTGGAAAAATTTCAATTATTTTCAAAAATTTTCTTTAATTCAATGATTTTTAATATCTACTATTTTAATAAAGTTTTACAAAACAATTCAATTATTTTTTAAAATATTCACTTTAAAAAAAAAAAGTTAATAAAATTTTACGCAAAAATTTCATTATTTTTATAAATAATAAAAATTTCACAAGATTTGTATAGCGTGATTTTTTTTTTACAAATAATTGAATTTTGAAAAGGTTTCAAATTAAAATCTTTGAAAATTTTAATTTTCATAATTTTAATTTTTAATTTTATGTAACTAATTTTTTTGAAAAATTTTAATTTCAATTCTGTTGAAATTAGTTAAATTTTCTAATATATATTTTACTAGTTATTAAAAATAATGGATTTATAGAAGGATTTTAGTTAAAAACACTAAAACAAATTGAAGAATTTCCAAATAATCGAAATTTCGTAAAATTGAATTGTAAACAAATGGATTTGAAAATTCTCAAAGTACTTTTTCAAAAATTATTAAAAATAATTGATAATTGTTAATTTACTTCTTTTGAAGAATTTTAATAAAATTTTCGAAATTAATTTCATTTTTCGAAGAATTGACTTAAAATTGTGTTATAAATAATTGAAATCCTGTGAAGAATTTTATTATTTCTGATAATAATTGAATTCTTTTGAGAAATTTTATTAGAATAGTAAATTTTGAAACTAATTTGAATTTCAGCGAAGAACTTCATTATTTGTGAAATAAAATTGAATTCTTGCAAAAAATTTTTGAAATTATTTACATTTTTTTAGGATTTTTTTAAAAATTGTATTAAAAATTAAAATCCTATGAAAAATTTTATTATTTATGAAAATAATTGAATTCTTACAACGAATTGTGTTACATTTTTTTTTTAATAATTGAATTGATATGAAAAATTTTAGTCCTTTAAAAAATAATTGAATTCTTGCGAAGGATTTTATTACAAAATTTTTATAAATAATTTCATTTTTTTTTTTGAAGAATTTTATGGAAATTTAAATTATTATAAATTTTATAAAACATGAAGATATCGATCACTCCGAGTCGAAGACTCGGATTGGTCGATTTCTTCATGTTTTATAAAGGTTTTAATTTGAATATTTTGAAAATTTTAATTCCATTGGAAAAACAATAATGACTATATATTTATTTATAATAATTTATTAGTTATTTAATATGGTAAAAAATAAATATAGTTTTAAAAATCTGGAAAAGTCAGGGAATTTCATATGAGCGTGGCAACCTTGGAAAAAAATTCAGCCAATAAAATATTTGATTATTTTTTTGATTTTTTTTGTGTTCTCATTTTTGATGAAGGAAATTTTGTAAAATTTTTGGACGAGAATATATATTATAAAATGATGAAATTAGAGAACAGTGTAACGAAGATTGTATAAAGTAGAGGAGAAATGATTGTATTTAAAGTGTATGAATAAACAAATCAAACCAAGAATAGGAATATAATGAAACGTTTTGTTTGTATATGAGTTTGACGGGTGTTTGTTTCGAGACTAGAGAGTCTTTTGGCAATAATGAAATTGTGTACGGCCGGTAAATTTCGTTAGGAGACGAGTGCACGAAACAGAAGCAATGAAAAGCAACGATGGTGTGGGAATAACGTAGGAGAGAAATGGAATAATAATTCCGGGACAATGTGTCCCGGTAGATAGCACAAAGCGTAAATCAGCATAAACATTGGTAAAGCTCCGACAATAATTCAGCATAAATGCATAAACATTGAGCGTAATCTTTACAATTCACATTCGCGATAAACAGCGCTATTTCGTTGGCGCACCATAAGCTTCTATAAGTCGAAGGTGTAAATAAAATCAAAATCTCCTAACAACTTCTAATGACTTTTGTCGGAAAAGTTTTTTTTTTTTTTTATTTATTTTTTTTTTATTTGGGAAATTTGAGGATTTATTAATTATTGAATATTTTTAAATGTAGGGCACTTTTTTCTTTTATTATTTATTTGGTTTTTGGATTTTATTTTCGGTTTTTTAATTGCAGTGGTGTGGTAAAGTTTTTATTCTACTCTTTTTGCTGAAGCTCCAAAAAAGGGGTGACTTTTATAGAATCCTATTAGGAGTTAAAAATTTACCCTATTTTTGGTTGTTATTCGTTTCTTGTCTTCTAGTATTGTTTCTTTTGTTTTTCGTGTTACTTTTTATATTTCTAAATTACAATTTTTAAAATGGAGTCGATGATCGAATTTTATTTTCACTTTCATTTTTACTTTCATTCTCACTTTTATTTTCGCTTTGACGGACTTTTAATTTCTTGTATTCTTTTCTATTTATTCGTTCATTAATTCAATTCTAATTTACACTCATCTTGACGGATTTTTAGTTTCATTTTCACTTTTACTAGACGGAAAGAAAATATATATTAAATTTTGTAAAAGTATTTTACAATTTGGGGAAAAAGTGCATCAAACTGAAATTTTGACATAAAAAATATTAAACAGTGATAGAAATAATATAAAATTTAGTAAAGTTATATTGAAATTTAACTAAAATTCTATAATATAATTATATTAAAATTCACAGAAGTTTTTTTAAACTTCAGTAGGTATTTTTTATATAAAAATTTCGCTTTATCGGATTTTTTCTCCAAATTGTGAAATACTTTTACAAAATTTAATATAATTTTCCATCCACGTATGATGCAAGGCAAACATTTTTTATCTGTATTCATTTTTACTTTTATAAATTTATTAAATTTTACTTTCATTTTTACATTCGATAATTTTTACTTTTACTTCCGTTTTAACAGGGGGTCTATTATATAATTTAATTATATAATAATTAAAATAATTAAGTTAATTATTATTTAATTTAACTTATAAATATAATTTACTTTTACTTTCATTTTAATTTTTAACATTGATTTATACTTTGATAAATTTTTATTTTTCATTTTATTTTTTATTTCAAAACGATAAAAAAGTTTATTAAAGTGAAAGTGAATATGAATTCCTATGGTGGTGGATTATGTAATTTAATTTCTAATTTGACTCTAATTCTCACTTTGATGGATTTTTAGTTTCATTTTAACTATAACAGATTTTTATTTTCACTTTAATTTTTTGTAGATTTCAAGATTTTAAGATTGTTATAATTTTTTAAAGCGAAAATGAAAGTGAAAATAAAAATCTGTTAAAGTGAAAATGAAACTAAAAATCTATCAAATTGAGAATAAAAATGAAAATAAAAATTTGTTAATGTGAAAAGGAAAATAAAAATCTATCATATTATTTTCATTTTCATTTTAACAGATTTTTATTTTCACTTTAAAAAATTATAAAAAATCTTTTTAAATCCATAGAAAAGAAAAATTTGTTGAAAGGAAAATTTAACTAAAAATTTATCAAAGTGAGAATAAAAGTGAAAATAAAAACTTGTTAAAATAAGAATAAAATTTTGTGAATGTGAAAGTGAAAATGAAAGTCAAATTAGAATTTTTCTTTTTCTTTCTCTAAATTGTTGGGCTTTGTAATGTCAAATTGAATATAAATTAAAAATTATTTAATAAACTATAAACATTAATTCAGTAAATTTTTAAATAAATCTTTAAATTTATCTAAATTTTTTCTATAACAAATTTCGTTTGACTGATCTAATAAATTATGCAAATTTTTCTCATTTTTATTTATAAAAAATAGAAAATTGTTAAAAAATTATGAATAAAAAATAGGAAATATAAATACCCATTTTATGGATAATTTTTATTTCTCAACAACAATATTGTTCACAAACTCATTCTTTTATTTTAGAAAAAAAACATTACATATTCCCGTTTCTTAACCCTTTGAGGACCAAATTTTTTCTTAAAAAATCGCGATTTTTGATTTTTAAGCAAACTTTTCAGGAACAGTTATTGAAGTTTTTTATTTGAAGACCAGTGTCTGTCATATGCAATTTTTCAGACTATGTGAAAATTATTGTTTCAATATTCAGTTTTAAAAATTAGGAAATTTATGCACGAGTTAATAAAAAAATGTTCATGTTGCCTCAAAGGGTTAAAATATTTTTGTAGAAAATTTTCAATTGTCCTAAGGAATTAATGTACATAATTTCTATTTCTTGGTTACAATTCTTTTAATAAAATTCAAAGTTTTTTAAAAATAAAAGGAAAAAATTATAAAAAAATTATATTTGTAAATTACTTGAAAATGAAAATTTTTGAATTTTTAGAAAATAAAGGAAAAAATTTTACTCAAAAAAATGTTCTGTTACATTTATTTACTCATTTCTTTAATTGCAAAATTATTTAAAAACATCAATAACTTCTTTTTTAAATATTAAATTATTATTTTTTTAATTTTGAACATAATTGAATTTTATTACTTTTGACAGTGGTCCAACCTCGACTATACTCCCCTATATATATTTTTTTTTTTGGGTGTACATTTTTTTTACATATAAGAAATTTTCAAATAGTGTCTAAAAAATCCATGATAGAAAATTTAGTTGACTCAACTAAACGATTGCTTGTCTATTATGAAATAAGTATTTATTATTATAAAGTAATTTTTATTGAAGTCAATCAAATGCTTTCTTGAACTGAATCAGTGAAATTTGACTGATTTTCAGTGACTCCATTCTCGTGATTTCAATTAGTGAAACATTGAAAACCAAAGTTTCTTTTAGTCTAATTTTGACTAAAACAATTTACTTTAGTCCAAATATTGACTAAATTTCTGAATAGAAAACTGATTTTAAGACCTAACTAAAACTGTCTTATTTTTCTTTGAAGCCCAAAAAATAATTGAATTTAAGAAAAAACTGGTTTTAGGTGTAAGTGCTTTGAGACTTTGTTCTTAAAGTGTAGAAAGTAAATTTTTTTTATAGTTTTCTTTTTGCAATTATTTATTTTTTTGTAATTTTCTTTTTTTAGGGAAACCTTTTTTTTGCACCCTTGACTAATCGGTAAAATGGAGCTTTATGATGCGTCGTCGAACTGTTTCCGGATGATCTTGGACGTTGCTCTCTTCATAGGATAATGTTGCAGTTCGGTGCCGGGTATATAGGACGATGAAAATGATGTGGGGTGTGAGTCTAGGAGGTGGTCGGGATGTGAGGGGGGGACTCGTCGGACGGGCAGAGAAGAGGCTATGGAGGCAGAGAGGCGCAAATCCTTTTAAATCCACACAATTGCGACAATGGGGCTTTATTTGTTATCTCGAGGGCCACATTGTGAGTCGCCGTGAACGAACGGACAGATTACGTCGGGGCTAGTGACAGCGTGGCGTCAACGGAACGACGTCGTCGGCACCGTGGCCGGTTTCAGCGGAACGACTTTATCATCCTGCTTTTTATTTTACGACCCTCCCCTCTCCGCCACCTCTCCACCACCTCTTCTCTCGCACTATCGTCGTAAAAATGGATTTGGAAATACCGGCATCGAATTCTTTCTTTGCTTTTCTCACCTTGTCTTCTCTTTTTTTTCTTCTATCATTTTCTCTATGTATATGTTTGTATGTATGTATTTCACCCTTCGCTTTTTTTTCTCTGCCTCCCTCCGCGGGTGCTTTTTTCTTTCTATTTTGTTATACGCGCACCCAACGAGATAGTAGCAATGCTGCACGCCTTTTCAATTTCCGGCCAACGTCGTCGCCTCTTCCGGGAATATCGGTTATATTCGCGTGTTTAGAAAAAAAGAGGATGTATTTGCTTATACGCACTTTTTGACCCTCAATTTTTTTTAAACTCTGCAGGGCTCGAACTAGATCCGTAAATCCCGTAATGGTCCGTAAATTTACTTCAAATCCGTAAAAGTCAGTTTTTTGAAAAATAGTCCGTACAGTCCGCAATTTGATTGAAAAAGAAAACGAAAAGTTCGTAAATTGTACGATATAATTTGAAGAATTCTAGAGAAATTACAAATTATTGCAGGAAAATCCAATTATTTTTAAAAGAAATAAAATTCTTCGCAGAAATTCAATTATGTTCAAAAATTTGTTTAAATTCTCATTAAAATTTCAATTATCTTTATAAGTAATAATATTCTTCTCCGAAATTCAATTATTTTCAAAAAATTTAATAAAATTCTTGGCAAAATTCCAATTATTTTCAAAAAATTTCCTCATTTCAATTATTTATAATATCTACTATTTTAATAAAATTACCCAAAAGAATGCAATTATTTAAACAAAATATTAATACAAATTTCACAGGAATTCAATTACTAATTAATTTTTTTATGAATTTCTTCGCACCAATTTCAATTTTTTTTTATTTTTTAATGAAGTTTCTCTAAGGAATTCAAATATATTCAGAAAATTCAAAAAGAATAGTTGTGACATATTCAATTATTTCGAAAAATTTAAATAAACTTCTTTTAAAAATTCAATTATTTAAAAAAATGTTGACAAAATTCTTTACAAGATTTAGTTAATAAAATTGCAATTTTAATAAAATTTTTCTACATAATTCAATTATATTTTCAATATATTTCTTCTTAGAATTCAATTATTTTCACAAATAATACGTTTTTTATGAGAATTCAATTATTTAAAAAAATTTAAATAAAATTCTTCATAAGAAATGAATTATTTTCATAAATAATAAATTTTTTCTCGAGAATTCAATTATTTACCAATTTTTTCATAAATTTCTTCGCAATAATTCGCAATAATTTTAATAAATAATAAAATTTTTTTAGGAATGTAATTATTTTCATAAATAATAAAACTCATTGCAGAATTTCAATTATTTTTAATCTAATTTTAATACAATTCGTCGAAAAATTTAATTATTCTTAAAAATTTTATTAAGATTCGTATAAAAAATTTAATTATTTAAAGATTTGTTGACAATTTTTTTTTTTGAAAATTTAATTTTAATTAACTAATTATAATTAATTAAATAATTTATTGTTGTATTTAAATAATTGCATTTTCGTAGAATTTACTAATAAAAATTGTTTTAAAAATAAATTTCTGTTAAAATTTTAGATTATAAATTAAAGATTAAAAGCATTGTAACGTGGATTTTTAAATATAATTGAATTTTGCAAAGGCTTCAAATTAAAATCATTAAAATTCCTAATTTTTCATATTTTTAACAAACAATTCTGTAGAATTAATTCTTTTGAAAAAGTTTAATTGAATTTTTTTTTGAAATTATTTCAAGTTTTTATTTTCTAATATATATTTAATTGAAGAATGTCCGAATAATTAAAATTTTGTAAAATTGAATTGTAAACAAACGAATTTGAAAATTCTCAAAGAACTTTTTCAAAAATTATTAAAAATAATGGATTTATAGAGAATTTTAGTTAAAAAATTTTTGAAAACAATAATTTCAAATTTGATTGGAAATTAGTTGTTAAAACTGATTGAATTAACTGCCGTTTTTCACTGGGGTGCGATTTTATAATTTGACTTTGACTTTCGATTCGATTTTGACATTGACATTAACTGAAGACTCTGACTTTGACTTTAATTTTTACTCTGACTTTGAAAGTTAAAGTCAATGTCGATGTCAAAGTCGAATCGAAAGTGAAAGTTAAATTACAAAATCGAACCCCTGATTGGCCAATAATTAGAAAAATAACGTAAAATTAGGAAAAAAAAAGATGTAGAAATAATAAATTTATCCTTTGAATATTTGGAAAAAATTTTTTATTATTAAGATTTATTATTTTAAAAATTAGGGTAGGAAGAAAAAATTAGGGTAGAAAATATAAAAAAAATATATATCGACCAATTGGATTATGATCTTGGAATTATTTGCGATAACTCGCACCGCTTCTGAGCTCAGTGAACTAAATAAACTCATAACAGTGATTAAATATTCAGGGTCGGCAATAAAGGTCCCCCCTCCCCCTATTTCTCTATAAGTGCTACCCTGTTCTTCTGATATCCTACCCCAGCTTAGAGAAGCACGCCCTTAGCTTAGTAACAATGTACAATATTATGAACTACGTTGCTTCCCCTTTCGTTACGCAGGCCCTGATACACCCCCTCCGCCACCCCTTTTACGTAATAATTTCATTCAAGTGTTCGTATCTAAAGAGCAATTAACCGTGCGGCGAAAATTCGGTGTTATGGAGATAAAACTGTTTTATATGCGAATATTATATTCATTATGTGTATACATATACAGTCAATAATTTCAATTTCAATTAATCTGCTATGCTTTATTACCGGTTTGGGGTTTTATCTCGTGCGAAATTACTAAACAATACTTTAAATTCTTTCGGCTTAAATTTTTTTTTTTTTAATAAATTCAACCTTTTATTGGGATTCAATTGAAAGTGAGCGAACATTAAGGTTGCCACGCTTTTGATCTTTTCAATTTCCCTGACTTTTCCAGGTTTTCCTGGTTAAGAAACGTAATTTTTCCAGGTATTTAAAACGAAAATTATTCGAAAACATTAATAAATTCATTTTTAAATAAATATTTAATAATTTTTTTTATAGAAATTAAGATATTCAAAAATTTAAAATTGAATAATATATAAGAATATTAATATAAAACATGAAGATATCGATCACTCCGAGTCTTCGACTTGGAGTAATCGCTTTCTTCATATTTTATAATAATTAAAACTTGTTACTTTGTTACTGTTACGAGTTATCATTACGATTATTCATTTCTAGAATTTTAAACTAAAATTCTTCATATATTAGAAATTAAAAACTTCAAATAATTAAAAAAAATTCCATTAAACTTTTTGAGAAAAATTAATTCTATAGAATTCTTAATTAAAAGTATAAAAAGTTCAAATTTTCAAAGATTTTAATTTGAAATTCATTTTTAAATCAATATTTATTAGAAAATTCTACGAGAATTCAATTATTTAACTATAAAAATGAATATTTTATTAAACAATTGAATGTTTCTTAAAATTGAATTTTCATAAATAATTTTATCAACAAATTTTTAAATAATTGAATTCTCTTGACAAATTTTAATAAAATTTTGAAGAATAATTGCATTTTTCGAGAAATTTGATGAAAATTATATTCAAAATAATTTAAATTCTGCCAAGAATTTGATTAAAAGTTTTGAAAATAATTGAATTTAGGAGAAAAATTTTATTATTTATATAGATAATTTAAATTTGGACGAGAATTTTTGTAAATTTTTAAACTTAATTAGATTTCTGCGAAGAATTTTATTAAAATTATTTTGAAAAAAATTAAAGTGTTACGCAAAGAATTTCATTAAAATTTTTGAAAATAATTTTATTCTTTAAAGTAATTTAATTAAAAATGTATTGAAAATAATACTTAAATTCTAATAAATAAATTGTAGCAAATGTTATTAAAATAATTCAATTTCTTTGATAAATATTAATAAAATTTTTAAGAATAATAACTTTTTTCGAGAAATTTCATTAAAATTGTATTACAAATAATTGAAATTCAGCATTGAGTTTTATTATTTATGAAAATAATTGAATTCCCAAAAGAAATATTATTATTTTTGAAAATAATTGAATAATATTAGAAAATAATTTGTAAATAATTGAATTCCTGTGAAATTTTTATTATTTATGAAAATAATTAAATATCTGCGTACAATTTTATTAAAATTTTGTTTAACCAATTGAATTCTTTTAGGAACTTTTATTAAAGTAGTAGATATTAAAAATTATTGAATTAAGGAAAGTTTTTGAGAATAACTTAATTTCTGAGAAGAATTTTACTATACTCTTGAAAATAATTGATTTCTGCAATCATTTGTAATTACTTCAAAATTCCATTTGTTTTAGTGCTTTCTAAAATTCTTTTATAAATCCATTATTTTTAATAATTAATTAAATATATATATTAAAAAATTTAACTAATTTCAGAAGAATTTTAGTTTAAAAAAATTGTTTTAAATCTAATTTTTTTTATATTTCTAATTAATAATATGAATTAATTGACAATATTAAATAAAAATTAATTACAGTAACAAATTAAATTTGTTTTCTGGTCCCTTGAAAAATTTTTAACATTTGAAACTATCGATAAATAAAACCCTCAATATTTGTAAGTTTTTCTTTGTCCCTTGAAATTCAATTTTTCGAGAGCCGACTGTATTTTACTTAAAATTATAGTTCTGATTATCTGAAGTTTAGAGCAATTTTCCAATTTTCAGTTTTGAATTACAATTTCTATCTTTAAGTTTGGCTTAATTCGAAATTCGAATTAATATATATTTTTTTCTTTATAATCAAGAGAAATTTGTGATTTTTGAATTTAGTTTGCGATTTTAAAATTGAGATTTCGGTTGCAATTAATTGGGGTTAATTTTTCAAATTTGAATCAGTAGATGATTAAAATACGTGAATAATTGATTTAAATTTAATTTACGTTTAATTAGGGGTTAATTTACACTTATTTCAAAAATAATATTTCATATAGACTCAGTTTTTCCGAGGATATCAAATTGAGACATAAAACTTATCAAAATTGTTGCAATGCAAAGTTTTGATGTTTTTTGTCTCAATTTTCGATATCCTGAGAAAAACTGAAGTTGTCTGAGTTTGAACAAATCTTGAAAAATATTTTATTATATATTAAATTTGCCGATAAGGAAGAATGCTTGATAAATAAATACTGATAGTAAGGAATTATAAATCTAGAGCTTATCTCCCTCAAATATATATTTGTAGTGAAAAAAAGAACAGAAATCTTTTGGCACCGTAAGACAGATGTTTATGAAAATTTTTTAAACAGGAAATTAAAAAGGATATTAATTCTCTTGCTACTTGTTAATTAACGCTGATTAGAAATCAGTGCTTTTCAATTTATATTTTGTTTCCACAGATTTTTCTTAACTTTATTGTATGTTTTTCGAAATAAATAAAAAATTACTTTTTCGTTGATTGTTATTAAAATTTTCATTTGAATATATTTTCAAATTAATATATTTTTACTCGAATACATTTTCAATTGAATGTTTAATTTTAATTAAAAGTTAAATTAAATAATGTTCTTGAAGTTTTAAACGTTCAAATGAATGAAATTTTTTTATTAATTTATATTTTGTTTTAACAATATTATGTCAAGCATTAAAAAATAAGTTATGAAGCTCCAAAATATTAGGTATACGTTTATGATTTTTATAATGATGATTTTATTTTTACTTACTGCAATCAGAAGTATAAATAAAATAAATGGATTAAATTTTCTGACTAAGTTCTGCAAATATTTATATTGAAAAAATATTTCATTTATTTGAACGTTCAGAATTTTTTGAAAATTATTAACTTACCGTAACCTCTTGGCCTCATCGATGAAGGGTCGCTTCTCACTTTCACTGAGGAGCTTCCACTCAGCACCCAATCTCTTGGAAATTTCGGAATTGTGCATTTTCGGATTTTCCTGTGCCATTTTTCGTCGCTGCCCTCGTGACCAAACCATAAAGGCATTCATGGGCCTTTTGATATGTTCGTTGTGAAGTGATTTAGACGACATGGCGATACAATTAAATAAATATATTCTTCTCAATCAATTTAAACAAGCACCTTAAAAAAATTGTTTTATCTGCAACGTTCTTCTTCACTTTAACCACTCATTTTGAATCAAAAATTTCATTATTATTATTTTGTTTTTAAAGTGACTTGAATCACTGTTTTTAAAAATCTTTTCCTCGGCGAAAAATAAATTCACAAAATATTTTCAAAAACTGTTTTTGATGTTTGGTATAATTCACTGAATGTTTAACACTTCAGAAATTTTTTGAAAAGTCACTTGTTCGATTTGTTTATTGTGTATTGTAGGTTGATTTTTTATTCCGACAATAAACAGGTGTTAATTTCTGCACAGTGTGAGTCCGGATTTGTTTATTTCTTGGTAGTTGTAACTCATGATGTTAGAACCTGAATGAAAAATGAAAAATTTATTAGATTGTTGTAAGGAATTTAATTTTCGAAGAAAACTTTGTTGTTTTGTTATTTCTAAAACTTTTCTTCTGAATATTAAATATATATCAGATTCAAAGTGATACGGAAAAAAAAGATTGTTAATTTGTCAATTGGATGGTTCGTATAAAACAAAGAAATTTATTTTGTTGTCCTAACAATTTATGATTCTACTTCAACGACTCTTTACAAAATAAAATCATCCAATAAATTTTTGTTGTTGTCCTAAAAATTTAGATTTGTTGTGAAAAAGTAACAAATCTTTTTAAGCAACAACAATAAAAGAAATTTGTTAGCTCTATTTTAGCAGTTCTTTAAAAAATTGAAATAACAAATTTTTGTTGATGTTGTTTGACAACAAATCTTAAATAGTTAGGACAGCAGAACAAATTTTATAAGAACGACAAAAAAAATTTATACTGTTCTTTTAACAATTTTGATTTGTTGTAGAAACAATAGTTAACAAGAACAATAAATAAAGAAGCAACAAAAAGGTTTGTAACAACGAAGAAATTTTGATTAATATTGTAAAAGTAATAAATAAAACAAAAATTTTTGTATTAGAAACAAAAGGAACAAATTTATTCTGTTGTCCTAATGATTCAGATTTGTTGTGAAAACAAAGTTTACACAGACAATTAAAAATTAAGTTTTGTATCTATTGAACTTTAAGAGCAATGTATCTCTTCACAGACATTGAGATCAATTTTCAAGTTTCCTATTTGATATGACTTTCCCTTTTGGATTAGAATAGCAGACTGAGCAAAATTTACATACGGAGGATTATCTTCGATCTTGGTAAATCTTGATTTCCAGCTGAGAAGGATCCGTTGTTGATAGAAGGTTGAAAAATCCCAAGAAAAACATTGACTGGTAGATAGCACGAACAATAGATTTTTATTTTGTTATTTTTTTTTTTAGAGTTGTTTGTTAAAGAATTTCTTTTCTTTTGGGGACGAGTGAATCGCGTAGGATGTCACAGGGACGTTGTCAGGGTGAAGTGAGATTCTGCGGAAACATTTACGGGGGTTCTAAACGGGATCCCGAGGGAGAGACGAGGGAAGCTCGAGTGAGCCAACCAGACAAGCTCTTCTGCTCCCACTACATACCATCACTAATGCACACCCACGATTGGCTGTTTTCTAGACATGGCGGACGTCGATGTGACGTATTCAACAGGTGGGAAAGTTATTCTCGCACCACCTCAAAGTTCTTCCCAATACCAACTAGGAAAAGCTCACGGATGTACTATCAAGCGAGAGGATTATCGCCCTTTCAACATCCTGACCTTATATATGCACACATGCCACAAACGTGGCTAACTGTTTGATTATTCGCTCCTTTCATGCAATTGTTTCGTCATTAAACATATGTTATAATTGATTGCACTGCTGAAAGAATGTTTGTTTACTTGTTTGTTTTGCGAGTTCGAAACATCGTTTTTTCGATTAGTGGTGTGGGAAAATCACCAGGTTTTTCTTCATAAGTTTGTGGTTTTTTGGATGGTCTTTTGAAGTTTACTCCTTTTCGGAGTGATTTTAACTCTTAATGGCAGGGATTTCAATTCTGAGGCATAGTGATTTTAACTTTAACTTAACAGATGCGAGAGTAATTGTAGGGAGAAAAAGCTACTCTTCTGTATATTAACTCCAGGAGAGAAAGAAAAATATTAGGGGGTTAAAACTTAACTCTACTGAGTGTTAATTTAAACAATAAAATATGATGGCCATGCCATATTGTAGTAAAGTAACAAATGTAATTGCGAAATGACTCCGAATAGAGTTGATGATTAACTCGTTTGTTTTACTCTAGATTAACTCACTTTTTAAAACTTTTATTTAATTCAAAAAATTTTACTTCTAATTCCTGATTATATTTACTGCGGCTCCACTGTAAAAAATGTTGTCAGTAATCAGTAACCGGAGTAGAGAGTGAAAATTTTAGAGTTAAAAATCTACTCCAGATTAGGAGTTAATGTATTCATACGAGAGTATAAATATTATTCCAATACAGCCGCGCTGACATATTTTACTGTCAAAATTAACTCTCAGTGGAGTTAAATTTCAACTCCCAATATTTTCCTCTTTTTCTTTTTACTCCAAAAGTGTGCGACTTTTATCAGGGTTGCCACAGGCAAGGGGATTTAGGGAAAAGTCAGGGATTTTTATTAAAAGTACTGGAAAAAATTAAATTTTTTGAATTTATAAGAAAATTCTGAATTTTTGAGTCTTTTTTGTTTGCCTCATAAACCAGAAAATTGCAAAGAATTCAAGTACAAACCCTTCAATTTTTTCTATTTCTGATAATAATTTCTTTTTAAATAACTTAATTATTGAACAACTATCATAAAATTATTACTTAGAAATTATTTAATAAATAATTTTATTTAAAAAGTACAAAATTAATTGCATCTTTTTTAATAGATTAACTTCAAAGGTTTAAATTAAAAATTTTAGAAAATATCAATTTTCAATGAATTTAAATAGAAATTTTAAGAACAACTGATTACAGAAATTCAATTATGTTCAAAAATTTTTAAAAATTCTTATTAAAATTTCAATTATCTCTATAAATAATAAAATTCTTCTACAAAATTCAATTATTTTCAAAAAATTTAATAAAATTCTTGGAAAAATTTCAATTATTTTCAAAAATTTTCCTCATTTCAATTATTTATAATATCTACTATTTTAATAAAATTTTCCAAAAGAATTCAATTATTTAAATATAATTATTAATAAAAATTTCACCGGAATTCAAAATTACTTATCAATTTTTTATAAATTTCTTCGCACCAATTCAATTATTTTTAATTTTTCAATGAAGTTTCACGAAGAACTTCAAATATATTCAGAAAATTGAAAAAAGGAGTTCTAAGGTATTCAATTATTTCGAAAAATTTAAATAAAGTTCTTTTAAAAATTCTATTATTTAAAAAAATGTTGACAAAATTCTTTACAAAATTTAGTTAATAAAATTGCAATTTTAATCAAATTTCTCTATATAAATAAATTATTTTCAATACAATTCATCTCAAGAATTCAATTATTTTCACAAATAATCTACTTTTTTTATAATTCAATTATTTAAAAAAATTTGAATAAAATTCTTCATAAGAAATCAATTATTTTCATAAATAATCAAATTTTTCTCAAGAATTTAAATATTTAAAAAAATTTGAATAAAATTCTTCACAAGCAATTAATTATTTTTATAAATAATATTATTTTTCTCCGGAATTCGATTATTTTTACAAATAAAATTCTTCACAGGAATTTAATTCATTAAAAAAATTTTTAATAAAATTCGCTGCAAGAATTCAATTATTTTCATAAATAACAAAACTTATTGCAGAATTTCAATTATTTTCTGTACAATTTTAAATATAATGATAGAAAATTACATTTATTCTTAAAATTTTTTTTTAATTCGCCAAAAGAATTCAATTATTTTAAAATTTTTTTGATAAAATTCTTTATAAAAATTCAATTATTTAATAAATTAATTATTTTTGTATTTAAATAATTGAATTCTCGTAGATTTTTCTAATAAAAATTGATTCGAAATTGAATTTTTGTTAAGATTTTAGATAATAATTGAATATTAAAAGCATTATAGCGTGAATTTTTTGAAATAATTTAATTTTGAAAAGGGTTCAAATTAAAATCTTTGAAAATTTGAATTTATAGTTACAATGTTCTGATGATATAAAATAATGATTTTATCACTCTGTCATCTTAAATTTGTTATAAAACATGAAGAAATCCATCACTCCGAGTCTTCGACTCGGAGTTGATATATTCAAAAGTTATTGTATTTCAGAAGGTTTGAATTTGAAAATCTTAAATCATATAGAAAAATTTTAATGATTGAATATTTATTTAAAAAAGAAATTATTATTGATGTTTTTGAATATTTTTACAATTAAAGAAATTCGTAAATAAATGTAATACAACATTTTTTTGAAAATCTAACAATTTTTGGATCAGAATAATCTTCAGGGTCAGGTAAAAAGTCAAAATTTACAGTATAAATAATTAAACTAATTAATTTTGTCTTTCAGCTGTAGAAAATTTTATGAGTTATAACATTCGGAGTTAGGTAACTATAAAATTTTTGGAGTTAAAAATCAACTCTTATGGTTCAAAAATGCGTATTATGATTTTGTTTAGGCAGTTAAAAATTCATAAAAGTTTCTTTCCATAAAGTAAATTGAATAGATAATATTTTAAATACTTGGTTTGAATCTTTACGGATAAGTTAATTTAAGGAAATAAAAAAGGAATCTCGACTTCTAGAGTGTAGTTTTAACTCCTCAATATTGAACTCCAAAGTGTGGTAAACTAATTGCTGGAAAATTTCGCTACTGTGTTTACTCTATAACTATTTATCTTAATACGAACATCGAACAAAATTCTCTGAATAGGATAAACTTTGATTATTATTTTTGTTCAAAATCGAAAGTGTATTTTCACATTTTACACATATATTATATGGAGTGAATTACGAGATAAATTTAGATTGAAATTTCATATATAAAATTAAATTGAAGTTGCATTTTATCTGATTGGATTTCACACTAGTTGAAGGAAAATTAACTTTCTGCTTGAACAATTTATCCTGTGTGGAATCTTTTCGGAGTAAAGTTTATATAGATACTAATAATTAGTTTTTAAATTGTTTCCTGAAAGGAACAGTTTAATATCGAATTTAATTAGAATACATAAATGTTGACGTTAAAAAAGAAAAATTTGTTTTATAAATACAAATCTTTACTTATAAACTTTATGGTTATAATATAATTCTATACTTTTGATAATAAAGTTAAAACAAATATTGTATATAAAATAAATACAATATTATATGAATATTATTAATACAAATTAATACAATTAATACAATTAATACCATTACATAATACAATTATTAATACAATAAAGTATAAATATAGTTATGAAATACAATAGCAACAATTTTTCATCGATTGGCAATTATATATTCTTCATTTTCTTTTCGTTATACAAAAAATTGTATCTATCTTTTTGTTGTGTAAATGTAATCGATGGGTCGAATGAAAATGATGGAGAAAAAGGGCTGGGTTGGACGTTGAAGCTGGAGAGACTCTGATAAGAGATGAGAGAGAGTGGAGGAAATCGTCAAGAAGAGAGGGGATTCTGTGAGACATTCTCAAGAAGTTGAGGGGTTGTAAAAAGAGTAAAATGAGAAAGAGAAAGAGTGAAAAGAAGGCGGAGCACCGTCAAGTTACTTTTATTTCACTCTCAAACTAAAGATACTATAAAATCTAGCCAATAAAAATTTTAACATTTTCAAAAAGAGGGAGTATAAAACTTTCGGTATTGATTTCTTTTTTTTAGTATTTATATACATACATATACGAGTTTATTCATTTTTATCCTGAATTGTAAAATATTTTTACAAATTTTTCGAAATCTATTCAATTTTTTGGAAATTTTGTATTATTCATGATGTGGTAGATTTTACATTTTATATAGTTTATGTATTTTTTTGTATTGTATTTATTTTATTTATTTCCTTCATTGAATTTATTGTAGGTATATATTTTATTATTTCCTTCAATGCATTTATTGTATTTATTTTCTTTCATTACTTTTTTGAGGTTTTCTATAGCAATATTAATTGATTTTTTCACAAAAAAAAAGAGTTTGCTATTATAAAAATTGTTATTTTATGATTTTATTATTTTTATATTTTACGAATAGGTAGTTAAATTTTAGCTGTGGCAGCTAATAATTAATTTATTTGCTTTGAAACTTAATAATTATTAACTATTATTTATTCGCATTGCTATCCACTCTCTAAATTTGAATTAGTCAAAATTAACTAAATTCACAGTAAAAAATTAGTCATTGATTCAAACAGTATATTTTTTAATAATAAAATACTTAATAATAACTATAATTATTAGTTAAATTTACTTTCAACTTCTACCAGAATAAAATTCTAATCGAACCAATAATTTTTGCATTTAAAGCAAATACTGTTATTTAATTCATTCAAATGAGAATTGTCTCTAATCTATAAATTAGTGGAAAGTCAACTAATTTGAATTAGCAAACATTTTCACTATTATTCAGCACAATTTCAGAATAAATTTAGTATAAAATTTTTTTATAAAATTTAAATTTTTTACTGAAATTTTAGTACTTAAGATTATTAACAATAAGTTGGTTAA